AAAAAAAAACGATTTTTTATCTCCGGCATTATTTAGAACTTTGGAACACTGAAACGGGAATCACTTTAAGTCAAGAGAAAGAAAAGAAGTTCTAACAAAAAATTGCTAAATTTCTTTTTGCTTATCTTCTGTTATATAACAGCAGTCCGGAAAAAGTTTCCAGTTCAATATGAATTCTTTATCATATGAAAATATATACCCCTCAAGATTCAAAAAATTTATATTATCGCATGTTTTAAAAATTGTTCCGCCGTCTACATCATTATCAGTTTCAGATACTATACGATAACATTTACAGGCCGTACAAAGGCTAAAACTCATCCAACTCAAATATTTCGCCATTACCCTAGAGCTGAGCCACGCAACAAATGCTACGAATACTCTTAACTACTATCGGGCTTTTACTTGCCAGCAACTCGCTGGTATACGGACAAAATTCTTACAGCAATCGCGTCGACTGTTTCCCCGAACCTGGTGTCACCAAAGAACTATGTGCTGCTCGATATTGTCAGTGGGACGATAATGTTAGCAGTTTTTAAAATAAAAAATGGATAAAGACGCGGTTCAACTGTCTGACACAAAAGCATAATCGCAACTTCCCACGCTATTTCTCAGATAAATTAAATACAATGGTTTTACTAGATTTTCAACTTCCTTGCAACTTATGCTTTCAAGCGATCTGCATAAGCAGTAAAGGGATAGTTGAATAGCAGATGGCACCTGTAGTGCTCTAGCTACATTAGCGGACGAAGTATCTGATGCTATAAATCAAACAAATTGTGAAATTTGTCGAACACTCATTTGTTTTAAAGGCTGCATGTTTTAGGCTAATTCGACAGCACGTGCTATGAATGTGCCTTTATGTTATTTCCCAAAAACAACTGGTTACTTGGTTGAAAGCAATACAGGCGACACATATATCATAAGCAGAAAAAACGTTACTTCAAATGATAAAAACAATCCACCAAATCCATATTTGAACGAAGGAGAGACGGAATATTCGTTGAAAGTTACCGTAAGCCGCTATGGACCAGCACTTCGTGTATGGATTGGACCTAACGAAGGACCGAAAAGGTTACAGATTCCCCGTTTAATCAGTCCAAGCTTACAGAACAGCTATAATTTATAATTTATTTTTTTTTCTTTATTTTTTCATTTCTATCTCACGATAAATTGACAAAAGCGATTTGGCATTACATGCACTTCATGCTTTTTCACGCTGTTTCTTATGCAGTACTTTGTGGCGGCGAGTGTTTACAAGTTTTTCTTCTACAAAGTAATGCTCCAGAAAACTTAATTTCCTTTAATCTGTAATTTCTAAAGTTCAGACACTTTATTCTGCACACGCTATTCAAAACTTTTCTGCTGCCAAATTATAAGTAACTGAACAAATGAAACGTTCTAGCAGCGAAGATTGCTGAAAACACTCAACTAGCCGTGTCTAGCTAGATGTATTCACCTAGAAACAGCCAATAATCAAGACTAGAGAAAATCTATATAAAATATGAAATTTAAATTTAATTCTATTCAAACAGCTTTTGATAAACAAAAGCCTACTTTTTTTGCCAGTTTATTACCTCGTTCCAACAGTCTTTTCACCCACTCACCAGCGTGTTCATAGATTTGAGCCAGACATCGATCTACTAAAGCCAGATCCTGTTGGCGACATCGATTTGAAATTTGAAGCAAATGAAGGACCTCCATTCTCTTTCGTCATCAAGCGAATTTCAACCGGAGCAAAAATTTGGGACACATCTATCGGTAAGTCAGCAATGTTCTCAACAAGCGTTCAAAAGACCTAAAATATGAAAGAGCAAAAATTGAAGTTTTTTTT